TTTTTTTTTTAGCTAGCCTTGCCTCCCCATCTCACAGCTCTGCTTTCTGTCCCTGCGTGTGTGTGTTCGTGGTTCTCTCACTGGTGTCTTTCTTTACTTGTCTCTCCCCCCCCACCTCCTTCTGTTCCTTTTCCTCTTGGTCTGCATCTCTTTGCTTTCCTATCTGCCTGTCTGTGTGTCTCTGCCTGTCTCTGCTACCTCCCTTTTCTTCACTGCCTCCTTCCTTCTCCCTTCCCTGCTAATTTCCCCAACTCTCCCTGTTCGTGTGTGTGTGTGTGCGCATGCGTGTGTGTGTGTGCGCTGTGTCTCTTTATCTCTTTTCTCTGGACTCTTTCCTTCTCCCCTCCTTCCTTCTATCTCCCCATCTCTATTGCTCGGTCTCTGCTTTGGATACATTTCTGTTCTTCTTTCTATTTCTTCTGTCTCACTCTGTGTCTCTCTCTGTGGCCCTCCCCTGAGGGCTGTGTGTCTGTTTGTCTCTATGTGTCTCCCTTTATCTCTCTGTCTCTTTATCTCTCGATGCAGGATCCCAGACTGATGCCCAGTGCCAGGCTCCGCTTCCCACTAAGTGGCACCACTTTATTAACTTCAGGGAGGAAGAGGGTGTGGGGGGAAGAGGGGAAGGAGTGACACAATAGGTATTATAGAAGAGACTGCATTGCAGCCTGGGCTGTTCACGTCAGGAGCTCAGTGAAGTGAAACATTTTCATCATGGACTAAGAGAAAAACTGTGAGCCACTTCCTGGGGCCTATACTGGGAAAAGAGCCAGGTTGGAGTCAGGAGACCTGCGCCTGAAACATGGCTGTGGCGCGTGCAGCTGTGGGACCTTGACCTCTCTGGATCTTAGTTTTCTTATCTGTCAAATGGGGATAATAATATATAAAATCACACACACACACACACACACACACACACACACACAGGGTTGTTGTCAGGTTATAAATCTCAAAGTTCTGTGTAGACAGGAGTGAGGTTGTCAGTGGGATCCAACAGGATGAGAGAGGTGGCAGGAAGAAGGAGAAGGGGAAGGAGGAGGAAGGGAAGGAAGGAACACATTCTCTGGTCTATGTTCTAAGGGTCCTCATAATACTAAGATTTCACGTTCTATCTTCTAACGCTTCTCCCAACTCTGCCATCCTCTGGTCTATGTTTGAAGGTTCCCATTTCCTGTGTTTCTGTTCTATATTCTAAGGACCCTCCCATCTCTGGCAGGCTATGGTTTCTTTCTGATGCGCCCTTACTTGCTGTTCATGGGAACAGTCTCCTAATGAGACAGACTGCCTCAGGGATCATGAGTTTCCAATCACTGGCGTCTTTACAAGGTTCCCTCCTAGCTCTGATGTTCTTAGAATCTTCATTTCTCAGCAGAATCTCTCTTTCATTCGGTTGTTCCACAAACATTTCTGAAGTACTTTCTGTGTGCTGAGCCCCATACTTGGCAATGGAAGAGAATAGAGACTGGAAGCTTTAATGAGATCATCTCTGTCCTCATAGGGCTTACAGTCTAGAAGGGGAACAGGACACAGACATACATAACCTATCAACCAACCAACACATTAGGTTATATAAGATCATGAGAGGGGCGACCACGGTGCCTTGTGATTACAGTTCTGGGGTTTGATTCTAACTCATTCAATAACCTTGGGAAAGTGACAGCCTCTCTGAGCCTCAGTTTCCCCATCAGTAACATTTGAGAGTTGAACTAAATCAGAGGTGTCAAACTGCTGCAAAATTCCCCAGTGTGATTAACAAAATAAATAAAAATATAACGCAACAGAGATATTGTTAATTGTGGTTTTCTAAGTCAATGTGGGGCCTCAGGGATCTGTCTCTTTGAGTCTGACACACTTGGATTAAGTGATAAGAACAGTGGGAGAATTCCCTCCAATCTGACAAACACATGCTGTTCATGGCTGGGGGCACAAAGGATGGCCCGTCGTGGATGGGTGGTGATATACAGCATTGGAAAGAACCTCTGCATTGATAAGGCCGCATTTTCCTTTGAGGCTTTTTGAAGCGGTGGTGTAAGAAGCTTGAGGGGAGAAGAAGTTTGAAGTAGCCACTGAAAGAAATGGAAAACAGAGAGTCAATCAGACAACAGACTGTTGTACAACAGGGAGGACCCAGTTGAGTGGAGATGCTTCCCTCCCCAGGGAGAACCACTTAAAATTTAGGTTTGCCTCTTGTCTGCTGTCTTCCCCCAAAAGGAGAGTAGAAAGGTACTCAACGTACAATGTAGATCAGGTATGGGACAGCTATTTATTTCCTCCCCACAAAGAAAATGTCTCAAATATGGAATACTCACAAATGTGTGTTGAAAAAGATTTAATCATGAATCAGTAATACGTAACTATTATTAGACTGCTGAATAAGTCCTCGTTGACGAATTGATTGCTGTGTGCCGGGCACTGGAGATAAAAAGACAAAATGAAACAGTCTCTGTTCTTGAGAAACTTCTGCTGGATCTAAAATGCCATTTCCACTCCCTCTTGCTGACTTTCAGATCAAGAGAAACAACAATAACAACAATAACAACAATACTAGACATAAAGCCAGTCACACAGGGAATCGGTGAGCAGCAGAGCTGAGACCTGGATCCTGTCTCTCAGCTCCTACTTGGGGGCTCTTTGCTAAACAATGCGGTGGGATAAGAGTGTCTCTGGGGATGGATGGAAAACCCATTTCCTCCCTGGCTCTGGGTGGGGGGGGGGATGGGGAGAAAAACTGACTCCACAGTTTAATTGTGTTGAAAATGTGCCCCGAGGTGGTTTTAATTTTATTGGCACTGATTTTAATCTCCTCTCAAATCCCTGATGACAAAATGAGCTGTGGGCCTGGTGAGGCAATGGCCCCTACTTTGTTACTGGGCTTTAATTAAAAATCCTCAAGCTACTGTAGGGAGGAAAGAAAGGAGATGTGTTTTTTACCTTCTGTACATTCTCTTGCTCACAAGTCATAAGGAAAGACCCAGTCTTCTCTAGAGAATGATGCAGCCAGAGCCATTGAATGTTTGAGATGGGAGGACCCTTAGAGCCCAGGATGGCAGAACTGAAAGTGATCTTAGAACAGGGAATATCAGGACTGGGAGGGGCCTTAGAGCAGGGAATGTCAGGGCTGGGAGGGGGCTTTAGAACAGGGAATGTCAGGGTTCCGAGGGGGCTTAGAACAGGGGAAAGTCAGAGCAGGGAGGGGCCTTAGAACAGGGAATGTCAGGGTTGGGAGAGGCCTTGGAACAAGGAATATCAGAGCTGAAAGGGACTTAAGAGAACACCTAGAACACAGACCACAGAATAATTCTGTTAAAGATAGAAGGAAACTTAAAATGATCTACTCAGACTTCTTCGTTTAATATATGAGAAGCAGAATCAGGGAACAGTGCTTATAATCACACTGAGACCTGATGAAGGAGTCAGGATTAGAACTGAAGTTTCCTTCTTCAAAATCAAGTTCTGGGCCTCAGTTTCCCTATTTGTAAGCCAGCAATGTTGATCTAGGTGATGCAGGTGACCTCCAAGCTGCCTCCAGGTTCTCATCTTTCTCTGATCCTCATGACAGTCTGATCATAAGCATTTCTCGCCATCTCCCTTCCAGCTTTTCCCCCTCTGCCAATCATCAAAAGCTCAGGGAGAAGACAGGCAATTGAAAGAAATAAAAAAAAGCAAAGCTGACTTTTATAGCACTCCTGGTAAATCATTTTGTCTTTCATCTATAAAGCTGAAAATGATGAGTTTAATATCACTGAGTGTGGGTGGCATCCTACATGTCTCTTCATAGCCTACACCACTCAGAGATGGACAGTCACAGATTTATTAATTGGCCACCTAATAAATTAGGCTTTGGGGATTGAAAGGACAGCCACCAGGCCTTCCTTCACCGGCCACATGATCCTCAGAAGATTGAAATTTCAGCTAGAACTGGTCAAAGGTGGGAAACTTCTCAGATACTTGCATAAAACCTAGAAGAAAAGATGTCAGATGTGGGAGGAGGCCGTCAAATGAAGAATAACAGAGCTGGAAGGGCCCTAGAACATACAACATGGAATGTCAGAGCTAGAAAGGATCTCAGTACATAGAATATGGATTATCAACACACCTAAGGGGGGATGTGGTCTTAGAACATTAAGCAGAGAATGTCTGAGCTAGACACAGAAAAAGAGAACATCAGGGCTGGGCGGGACAGTCACCAACTCCAAATGCCTCATGTGATGGGTGAAGGAGCAGCTGCTTCTAAGACCAGGATCTTAGGGGTGAAAGAACCTAAAGGCACGGGACGGACAGAGAAGGTTAGAATGGGCACTCTGAGCCAGCACCTAACGTCTCACCTGACTGACTCTTTGCACTTGTTTGCCTGCATTCATTCACAGCCTTGTTCTTTATACTATACCCCCTGTGACTGTTAAACCTTCCAGTAACCAGATGCCTTAACCCAGCAAAATTGTACCATCTCCCTTAATCCCCTTGGGAGGTGCTTGAACTAGGACAGTTTCCATTGCTTGAGATAGAGGAGTGCAGGGCCCTCCTCCCTCCTTGCATTCTCTAGGCTGCTGGCCCTTCACAGGCCATCAGTCTCCTCCAGGTCACTGACATTCTCTCTGTCTCTGTCTCTGTCTCACTGTCTCTGTCTGTATGTCTATGTGTCTCTGTCCCTCTGTCTGTCTCTGTCTCTCTGTCTGTCTTTCTGTTTGTCTCTGTCTCTGTCTGTGTGTCTGTCTCTGTCTGTCTGTCTGTCTCTTTGTCTCTGTCTCTGTGTATGTCTCTGTCTCTTTGTGTGTCTGTCTTTCTGTCTCTGTTTCTGTCTCTCTTTATGTCTCTCTGTCTGTTTCTGTCTCTGTCTCTGCCTTTCTGTCTGTCTCTCTGTCTCTGTCACTCTGTGTGTATGTTTGTCTCTCTCTTTCTGTCTCTGTGTCTCTGTCTCTCTCTATCTCTGTCTGTATGTCTCTGTCTGTCTGTCTCTGTCTCTGTCTTTTTGTGTGTGTCTCTGTCTCTGTCTCTCTCTCCAGAAAACCAGCCTGGAGTTCTACATTGACATCCACGCACACTCTACCATGATGAACGGCTTCATGTATGGCAACATCTTTGAAGACGAGGAGAAGTTCCAGAGACAGGCCGTCTTCCCCAAGCTCCTGTGCCAGAATGCTGAAGACTTCTCCTTTGTAAGCTGCCCTCTCCTGCCCTGCCCTGAGGTCCCTGCTTATCTCCCATCTTGGCCTTCCTCTTCCTCTCTCTTCTTCAGTTCAGTTCACATTCACATAAGTGTTCATGCCCATCCTGGGCTGAGCCCTGGCAGGGGATGGGGGTGAACACTGTTGGAGAGGATGGGTCTGGGCAGGGAGGGGGGTAGACCTGAGGAGCCCACAGTAAGCTTAGCCATCTTCCCTGGCCACTTCCTGGGACTCTGGCTCAGCTCTGAAGGACCCATGTTTTGAGAACATGAAGGTCTTTTGATCTTCCTGATGGGGGTTGTGGGGGCTGTGTGAGAAGAGATTGGCTACTGATGCAGGAAGAGTGGTCTACTTACGAGACCTCGAAAGGAGAGTGACTCCGCCCTCCGGTGGTCTCTCTCTTCCAATCTGCTGAGTGGGTGGGGACTCTGAGAGCTTCTCTCTTGGACAAAGACTTAAAATATAGAGAACAGTAACAGTAATTGTAATTTAAAGCATCAAAACATGACATGCATTCTGGGATTGAACAGCCATTTCACCTTCGCCTTCCTTTAAAGCCCAGCCCAGAAGGAGAAACAGGTTTTGGAAGAAAGAAGATGAGGATAGGTTTTGGACCCTGTTTGGGATTGCTACAGGGGGATGTGGGGGGAGATGACCTGGAGGCATCTGGAGATGCAGAGTTAGAGCTTGGGAAAGAAGTCAGACATCCAGATCTAAGAGGCATCTGCATGGAGGTGGTCATTAATGCCATGGGAGCAAATGAGAGTTCTATAAAAGTGAATCTAGAGTGAGGGAAGAGAAAAGGCTGGGGGAAAAGGCTATTGAAGGAGCAGGACATAGGGACAAGGAGGAAGAGGAGGAGGAAAGGGAAGAGGAGCACATACTTCATGGGTCATATGATAATCAAGGGATACAATCTCTTTAAAGCTCTTTGCAAACTGAAAAGCACTGCATAAAATGTTGCTTATTATTATGATTATTATTCTCTTTAACCTCAGTTTCCTCATCTGTAAAATGAAGAGGATGTTATATGAACATTAAGGGACTTTCTAACTTTAGGTACCTAATGAAGAATTTAGTTGTTAAACTCATGGGTTTTTAGACACTTGTTTAGAATATAAACTCATTTGTAGGATCTTATAGAGGATGATAGAAGGTTTTGTAATGTCACCTCATAAAACAGAAAGCGTAGGAAGAAAAATCGACCTGAAAAAAAGGTTAGTAAGAGATTCAACTAAGGAACTTCACCACAGGGCATTTAAGGATGAACCTGGAAGGTCCCCAAACAAATAAAAGGTGGAAAAGATCTGCAAATGTATTTATAAGTCCTTTTCACTATTAAGGACCGTGGAGTCAACAGACTTGAACTTCAGTAGATGTTGAGAGCTGGGATAGACTTCAGCATCTGTCTGGGCCAATCTATGCACAAATGGGTCCCCATTTTAACTTCCCTGTTAAGGGGTCATCCAGTCTCTGCTTGAAGACCTTTGAGGAGAGGAAACCCATTTCCTCCTGAGGCAATTCATTCCACTTTTGGATACCCCAACTGTTAAACTGCTTTTCCTGAAATCAAGCTTAAATTGTCCTCTCTGCAATTTGTATCCATCATTCCTGGTTCCGTCCTCTGGAGACTAATGGAACAAATCTCACCCTTATTCCGTGTCAGCCCCTCAATTACTTAGACACTGTCATGTTCTCCCTGAACCTTCTCTTCTTCTGACTAAATATCCTTATAAGTCATGGACTCATGACTTCTTGGTTGTCCTCCTCTGAACACTTTCCAATTTATCATAACCTTATTTAATGATCTGATCATTAGTATCAGGGAGGTGCTCACCAAAAGTATTTGCCATTGACATAGAGGAGAGATGGTGTAGTGTTTAAGTCAAAGAATGGTTTTCTACATATCAGGGGTTCTTAACCTAGGGCCCCTACACTTTATTTAAAAAATATTTTGGTGACTATATTATTAGTCCTTTGAAACCTATGTATTTTATTGTATGCATTTGAGCACATTATTCTGAGATGGGGCCCATACATTTCACTAGCCTGCACAAGGGATCTATGACACAAAAAGGTTAAACATCCTTGTGTCTAGATAGCAAGGTCTAGAGGCTTCAGATATTTCTGTTTAAGATGACATTGTCCTGGTTGTATCAAACCCTGGAATATTTTATAAAAGAAATGAATGAAAGAGAAAGAAGAGGGGCTAGTGATATGGGGAAAGCAAGGGATGACTGGTGGGCAGCTCACATATTCCAGTGGGATCCTTCCAGTGGCAAGAGAAAAGGGGGAAACCCCCAGCTTCTTGGTTGGACCCTCTGTGACAAAAGAGGACAAGAGAATGGGGCAGGTAAGGGTGGGTCAGGATCTGTCACTGAAGGAAATGTCTACATTGGTGAACTCCCAGGTTCATGTGAATAAGTTGACAGTAGGTGAGGTAATTTGCATGTTTTCTCCCCCATTAGACTGTAAGCTCCTTGAAAGCAGGGACTGCTGTCTGCCTTTCTCCATGGCCCCAGCACTTAGCACCGTGCCTGGCACATAGTAGGTGCTTAACAGATGCTTGCTGACTTGACTTTGACTTTTGAGAAAAAGAAAAGGTTTGCAGGTCCACGGGCAGACCAGGAATCAGAAGCACCATCCTCATCTCACCCCTCCATCATCCAAAGGGAGGTGGGGCCTCCCCGGGGCAAAGGACAATTTTGTACACGCACTTTCCCCACACCTGTTTTACCCTCAAATCCAACCAAGAGCCAGTTTCTTCAGGTCCAATGCCAAACCTGTTACTTCTTCCTTTTCTATCTATGGTGAAGAAGCATTTGTGCCCAGCCTGTGGCGGAGCCCTCCAACCTTGGACTGCTCTGATCCGCCACACGTTGACCCTGACACAGTCATGTCATGTGGGTCCTCTTTGAGCACAAAGGACAACCCCCATCCAATCTAGAATATTAGACACCATACTGATTTGTAGATGAAGAAATTGAGTCTCAGAGAAGGGAAGTATCATACTCAAAGTCACACAGCACGCAGTTGACAGCCAGATCCTCTGAACGGTGTTTATTTTGCTCCCGCCCCCACCTGCCCTCACACCCCCCTCCCCAGCCCCAGCTCTCCCAGTTCACTGGCCTGACATGAGAATGATTAGCCTCCTTTGTCTCCCCACAGTCCAGCACGTCCTTCAACCGGGATGCAGTGAAGGCAGGAACCGGCCGGCGCTTCCTGGGAGGCCTGTTGGACCACACCTCCTACTGCTACACCCTCGAGGTGTCCTTCTTCAGCTACATCATTGGGGGTACCACGGCAACTGTGCCCTACACCGAGGAGGCCTGTATCCTTTCCAGGGCTGCCTGCACCTGTGGGCGGGACCAAGGACCCAGACCAGGTGGACCCCATGTTTCACCTGGGTAAAGGGCTGAGCGTGAGAGGAGAATGCTTGTGCCTGTGGGAGGTTGTGAGAGCCCACCTAGTGATGATCTGAAGGCTACCTTACTCGCCCCCAAAAACACACTGGTTTTGCGTGAGTCAGCTGAGCTTGGCAGGAACTGCCCATCACCAAAGTTCCTAGACCTGAGGTCACTCTCCTCCCATCTCCTCTGCTCTCCCCCTCTCTCTTCTCCTCCCATCTCCACTCCATGCCTCTCCATTCCTCTCCCTCCCTCCCCCCCCCTCCCCTCATTCCCCCCTCCCTCTCCTCTCTCTTCCCCTGTCCATCTCTTTTCCTCTCCTCTCCTCCTGTCTCCTCTCCTCTCCCCCTCTCTCTTCTCCTCCCCTCTCCCAGGTCTTCCCTCTTTCCCCTTCTATCTTCCCTCAGACGCTCAGAGTTAGAAGACAGCTCAGAGGCCTCTAACCCTCCCCACCCCAACTCTCAGCCTAATTGAAGACCTTTTTCAGAGCAGCCTAAGATCACCTCAGCTTTTTAGCTGCCCTTTCTCCCCGCTGATTCATGGGAAGTTTGTGGCCCACGATGACCCTCAGATCTTCATCAGACACCTGCTGTCTAGCTACATCTCTCCTGTCCTATCCTTGCAAATTGGCTTTTTGAACCCATCATCTCTTTCTGAAGGGCGCACTGCTGATTTACAAACTCTGCGCTGTACCTGCGTGGAAATAGCCGCCTTCTGATGCAGTTCATTCTCCATCCCCGCTTCTCTCCTCTGGTCAGTCTCCAGCTCATCACTCTCCTTTCCAAAGGGAAAGGTCATAGACAGAGATACAAGCACGGGGTATGACATCTGTGGGCATATCAAGCCCAGGATGCGTTTAGGACCAGACACAAGTTCCTAGTGGCCACCCACGAACAGCCTTAGCACTCGGCAATATCTCCATCCCTGGCCATCTGCTGGGTTTCCATGGCAGCCAGAGGCACGGGTACCAAGGCAGACAGTCAGTGATATACAATGACCTCAGGGCACTGTAATCTACCACATTAACAGTCTTCCATGTTATGACTGTAAACTGGACCGCCTCCAATCACGCCTGGTGACCTGGGAGCTGGGGATGGTCAGGGGCCTGTCTGAGGTCTGCTCCTCCACGATGGGCCTCCAAAATAATGACTCAGGGTCCTACTGAGCTAAAGGTCTTTAGGAGCCCTTTCCACCCAAGAATTCTGCAAGGTGTGTCCTAGGATCAAACATCAGAAAGAGATCCCATGGCCATCAGAGCCAACCATCTTGTTTTGTACCTGAAGACGTACAGATTCCTCTTCAGGCCTCTGTCCACATCTTCTAAGCTCCTGAAGGACCAAGGTCAGTTCTTCTTCCCTTCTCTATCCCCTCCCTCAACACAGGGCCCACGGGAGGCTGAGAAATGGACGTAAATGGCCTGGGTCTCACCTTAATTGATTTTATGACTTTGGATATTCAGCCTTCTTTTTCTAGGTCTTTGGTTTCCATGGATAAAACGAAGACAAGTGAGGGTCTCTAATGTCCCTCTAGGCTCCACCATTTCTTGTTCTAAAGCCCCTCCCAGCTCCAACATTCCCCACTCTAAAGCCCCTCCCAGACACTGACGTTCTCTGGCTCTTTGGATGACTCTGTAAATGAAGAGAAGGGTGGAGGTAGAATCCCAGGCCTTGGCAACAGATTGGATGCGTGGCATGATCCAGAGAGAGGAGTCAGAGATGGCAGCCGCGGCCCATGAGCCTGGGTGACTGGGAGGATGGTGGCGCCCTTGACGATAATGGGAACATGAGGAAGAGAGAAGAGTTGGGGAGAAACAGAAAGAGTTCTGTTTTGAAGAGGCAGGCGCCCCAAGGAGGTCATTGAGGACGTCATCCCCTCCCTTCCCATCACTAACGTGGAGTTGAGAACATAGGAGCAGAGGGACAAGATGGGCTACCCACCCTGACTCAACCTCCCCCTTCTAGGGACAAAAATAGCATCAGTTCTGAGAACAAGTCATGATAATTCCACTCATTCAATGCCACAAGCCTTTATTAAGTGCCTACTGTATGTAACGCCCTGGGGGCCACACTAAAGGAGATGCAAAACTGGGATGGGACTTCTCCCTCCCCCTTTCGTCTTCATAGTCTTGTAGTAGATTGAGAATGGCTGACATTGGTATCGTCCTTCAAGGCTTACAAAACACTCTACGGATGTCATCTCATTTCATCTGAGGAGTCAGGGCCTGGGGCTGATCATGGGTCTCATTATCCTCATTCCATGAAGGATAAAGGAGGAGGTGAACTTGGCCAAAGTCACCCAGCAAACCCTGGGTTCCGGCCCCCCAGACTGGGATCCTTCCTGCTCTGCTAGGCCCCATCCGGGGGAAAGCTTTCCTGGCCATTGGCTGGATTGGGTAATGAAGGCCTTCCCTGGGGGGAGCCTGGGGCAGCTCTAATTAGGCTTTGTTAAAATGCTGATTAATAATGGCCTGGGCAAGATGGATCATGGCAGTGTCCTTCCAGCCTTCTTCATTGTAATCTGTGGCAGCCTGGGTTTGATTAATGTGTAGTTAACAAGGGCATGTGCAAATGGGGAGGAGGCCACACTAGGGCCTTCATTGGGAAATGCCCCCAAATATGGGCTTGGGCTACAAATGCCAATGGGAGGGGGCGTCTTGTTTTAGGTTGTCAGGCCCTGCCAGGCATCAGCATGTGGCGTACATAAAAAGAGTCTGGGATGGAGTCTGGACTCTGGAACTAGCTCGCCCTGCAACCTTGTGCAAAGACTTCCCCTCTCAGGCCTTAGTTTACTCCTCTATAAAATGGGTCTGGAATAGGATAATGAACAAGATATTCTCTAAGGACATACCCAGCTCTGACATTCCATGCTTTAATGCCCCCAGCTCTGACATCCCCTATTCTAAGTCCCCACCCAGCTCTACCATTCCCTGTTTTAAGGCCCCTCCTACCTCTGATATTCCTTGTTCTCAGGCCTCTCCCAGCCCTGACATCCCCTGTTCTGTACTCCTCTGGGTTGGATGATTGATTTTTGCCCCACCTCTGCCCCCTGGAGAGGAACCTCTGCCTTTTTCTGCCCCTGCACTGATTTCTTTCCTCCTCACACTCTGTCCTCAGTCCTGGTCAGAGCTCATCTGCAGTACCAAGCTCAGTGTGGGGCATCAGAGCAAGTTAAAGAAATACTGATAAGCTGGCAAGTGTCCAGAGGGGAGCTACCAGCACAGTGAAAGGTCTGCAGTTCAGGGCCTGGGAGCACTAAAAGAACTAGGGACATTTATCGCAGAGAAGAGAAGAGCCTCAGAGAGGGCTGGAAAGGCTGCCTGGGAAGCCACGTTGGCCTTGTTCCGCTTGGCCTCAGACAGCAGAACCGGGAGCAATGAGTACAGAAGACGTCCCTGCCCACAAGAAAGTCACAGTCCAGTGGGGGAGACGACACGCCAACAATTACGTATGAGTAAGATAGGTGCAGGCTGAGCTGGCTTCAAGGGTGCCTGGAAACCTTCTTTAGCTGGAACTGGAAGGAGGCCAGGAGGTTGAGAAGAAGAGGGAGGACGCTGCAGGCCTGGGGGAGAGCTCAGAGACCGAGGGTCTGATGTGGGGAGCAGCCGGGAGGCGTTGTCACCGTCCCGCCTCCCCCTCCTTGGAGGCCTTCCATCAGACATTGATGAGGCCTTGTGGGGACGTCAGAAAGGACATTCCTATTCAGGCGTGGGCATGGCTAGGGGCTGAGGTCCTCTCTAGCTTGGATTCCTTGACTCAGGAAGGAGCTGGGTTCACGGATGCTTTCCCATCCCTTCTCGGACTAAATCCTATGATTTATACATCGCTTGTAAGAGAAAACTGTTTCTGGAGTCTGAGGTCCGGTGTTCAAATCCTGCCACTTACTAGCTGTGTGACCCTGGACAAGTCACTTCACCTCTGGGCCTCAATTTCTTCACGTTTGTGAAAAGAGGGATTTGTCTGCTCCCACTCTGGACTGTGGTCCTGAGTGTATCGCCTAAGTTTTCCTCTCAGGAGCTTGTTGTCCCTCTTGCTCTTGTTGGCTGTGGGCTCTCCCTCTTGCTTCCCTTTGTCTGGCTGTTTGAAACCTGCCCTCTCTTTGGGCGCTGCCCATCTGTCTCTATCTCATCCCTACTCGCCCCTCCCCCGTTCTAGACCACAGTCTCTGAGGCTGAGCTCACCTGCATCTTTCTAGGATCTTTCCCCACACACTCCTCCTTACTGGATTTTGAATCTGTTTTAGCAGCCCCAGGCCCATTTTACAGATTTGAGACACCAAAGCAGGGGTGTGTGAAGCCAGCCGCACGGTGGCTAGGAGAAGGAAGGATTTAGCCGGGGAGCACTTGCAAGGGAGGGAAGGCCCTCTGTGTGTCTCCTGCCCTCTGCCCTCGGCCTTCCCTGGCACTGCGATGTCTATGACTCGTGAGGACGGCTGTGCGTGACTGATGAATTCGTCCACCCCCGTCACCAGCCAGAGATGAGTGGCCTTGGCCCGAGCCTCCGCAGCCATCTTTTGCCGCTGTCGGCCGTGTTAATTAGCTGTGGTAATTGGATACTTTGATACTCAGAGGGACTCAGTACAATCCAACTTCTCCCCTGGAAAGCCAACATCATCTTGGCATTTGGCAGCAGGGATGGCCGGCTGTCCTTCCAAAGGAGCCAGACGTTTGCTCTCTTGGAAGACGTCGTTGGAAGCGTTATTAGCCATGTACTGTGCAACAACCTCATCCCCATCCCAGCCCTTGGGGTGTTTGTGTGTGTGTGTGTGTGAGAGAGAGAGAGAGAGAGAGAGAGAGAGAGAGAGAGAGAGAGAGAGAGAGAGAGAGAGAGAGAGAGAGAGAGAGAGAGAGAGAGAGAGAGAGAGAGAGAGAGAGAGAGAGAGAGAAAGAGAGAGAGAGAAAGAGAGAGAGAGAGAGAAAGAGAGAAAG